CCTCAAATTTCCCAATTCTGAACCTTGGTACATTTGCAAGATCAGAACCTGTGTTTTGTGAGCTCTTTTCTTTGCAACCATTCTCCACGGGCTACACTATGCCTCCTGCTGCTTCTGAGAAAAATCCGACAACAGCACCCTGCAGCGTGCAGCAGCACCCTTCACTAGCACCCTTGCAGCACGAGTTGGGTACAGTACGGGCTAGCTCGACAGCACCCTCAAGCAGCACCTTCCACCCGCATCCGCTCACCAGCATGCCCGCTCCAAAGCAGGGTTTACAGCACACACCATTCTGACAGCAACACCTTCAATCATCACCCTCAGGCAGCACCAGCATTGCTCCAAACTGTACACACCACTCTGACACCAAGCAACACCCTGCACCAGCACCTTGCAGCGGCATTCCAACGGCACCACGATGCCCGCTCCAAAGCGCACACACCACTCTGACAGCAGCACGCACAGCGTCAACAGCATGCCAGCTCCAAAGCGCTCCACGTATGGTATAATTGCCAACAATTGAAACATTTTCGGGATAAGTGTGGGTAAATAACCATACGCGGAGGATGCAGGGAAACACTAAATCAAGGTCCGCGAATCATACCCACGAATCATACCCCGAATCATACCCACGAATCATATATACCCCCTAGTCAAACTTCCCGGGTTGGACACGATATTTTGAAACATACCCATATGTTGGTCCACTTGTGGGCGTGGAAACATAAAGTCCCACCCCACACCTTCCTTATTTTGAAGTCTTACACCTGGCATACTCTTTTCTCTGATTACATTCAAAAATTAAGATTCACCCAATGGAAGTACCGCCCGTACTCACTTAGACGTGAAGGTGCCACGCATTTGTTTGTCAAAACCGGGTCCCTTGACAAGGTAGTGATTGCTGGCCGATGATCAATGGTCAAAACGGATGGCATGAAGACTTTCATCTGGTAGTGGCCTGTGGCGACTTAGCCTTTTGCATGATGGCCTATGATGCTGGGACGTGATGACACGGTTGATGTCTCAAGCTTTTTGTTGGGTTGCGAGGGAGATGGCAAGTGAAAATACGGATGGATATATACATATATATATACACGTATATATATATATATATACATAATATGTATATATATATGTATATCATTATATATATAATTATATATATACACACCACTTTTTGTTCCTATAATATATATATATATATACATATGCACACGGATGGATGCGTTTGAAAAGGTAGATATGATGCATTTGCTTTTGCGTATACATACCTTTCATCTCAAGCACATGGAATATATAGTCATAGATGCTCAACCATTTTGGTCTGCCCAGATCTGTAGTAACATGTGCAAACAGTAGATGTTAGCAAGCTCCAATGTATACATTTTAGTACGACCGACTTCATACGCAATAGCTTGTGGAATCCTGCATAGATATGAACAAAAAGAAGAAATAGTATCAACCAGTGACAGAACACCAGGTATTGAGGCTGCACCTTGTCGTTGCACGTACTGTATATATATATATATATAAGATCGAACAAACTCAAAACACATATGAGGGGCTTAGCCCATACCTATTCTGCCCTACCACCCTTTCCTTTTGTAACTTGAATTAAGGATGTGGTGCTTGCAGCCCAGTGATGCTATCATTCCAAGTTGCCGTGACCGAGACCTTTTCAGCATCCCGGTCCGACTGATTTGGGACTAGAGCAGAGACCCACACAAAGTGGGTTCCTGTGCAGTGGCAGAGACTTCGAAAAATGCTTTGGTTTCGAATTGGGGCTAAACGAATCACCAGAATTGATCGAAACACAGTTGGGACCGCTCTTTTTTTGGGGGTTCTCAGCTCAGTTCACTGTATTGACTTTGAATGACACTGTGACTAGCAAGCACATAGGTCTATCATATGCCTTGCTGGTGCTTTGTACTCCAACATCCATTTGTGTTTGTTAATTGCGGAAACATACCAAGCTACCATTTCTCAGCCGGGGAAATGCCAGAGGCATGTACGATAGTTTATACATGTATGCAAATAAATGTATATAATATATATATATATATGTGTGTGTGTGTTTGTACTAATATATAGCACACACTATAAAACCCACTAAAATAACTAAACAATCAACTAAAGCCCACTCTAAAAACAGATATGCACACTGCACACACATATTATATATATACAGCCTATATGTAAATATATTGTATAGACATGTATGCATGCTCATTATATATATATATATATATATGCATATGCATATACATAACATACATAACTACATACATACATACATACATACATACATACATACATACATACATACATACATACATACATACATACATACATACATACATACATACGTACGTATAGGCAGACCGACCGGCCGACAGACAGACAGACAGACAGACACACATCTTTACGTATATACGTATCTACATACAACGAACATTTAGGCATCAACTCCTACTAACCATTACCATCGATGGAATGGGGTTAGCTTCCCGGCTTCTGTCACTTCACATTGGTTGGAAGTGTATTTTCTGATCATCTTCAAGCACAAATGCCCACCGTTGTATCGACAGACCCATGATGACCAGATGTCAGCTTGAGGATGGTCCCTAAGAGACTTGCCTTGAGGGTCTTGCAATGCCAGGATTTTTTCCCCCAAGATGAGCCTAAAAAAGCAGCCCGGGCTGTCATTGGCACGTTTGCATTGACAGGTTGACATATCAGATGATAATGAAGTAACTGAATATATGTGTGAGCAGTTTTCGACCAAAACATTGTTTCACCAATGGCCAAGTTGTAGTGTTCTACATCAGTTGAGGCACTGGGTATTCACCTTGACAGGGCCTTGCAGATCATTGGTGTTGGAGGCACCCATATGATATCGGCATATATCGGCTATCGCCATTTCATGAGGCTTAAAGCATACAAAGCCACCATGTTTGATACTTAAACCTACATTTTTTGAAAATTCCATTGCCATGACAGCCCATGAAGCTTCAGCTCTCAACCCCCGTCCTGGGGGGTCGCTGATGCCAAGCTCACCCGCTGAGCTCAGCGACTTATCATTTGAAATGCGATCCGCACAGAAACTTCCCACTTGGCTTTGACCAAAAGGTGTGCGCTGTGCTTGTGGAAGTTAATTACGGGAAAAAGGATTGGTGTTTTGTTTCGAGGCTCAACTGTGGTGCCGGAGTAATGCAAACAACAGAAGCAATGCATTTGTGATCGTATATTCAGTCTGAACTTCAAAGGCCAACATCGGCTAAGCAAGCCAGCCTTTTATCATTTTGTCATCACAGGCTAAACTAGGTCATGTCCTTTTCCCATTGGTTGGTTGATTAATAGAGAGGTTTGTTTACCCCTTTAACAACAGGTAAATGATGATAGATGGTATACGAGACTAGGTCATGTGGAGGTCTCCTAAAATAGGGCTACCCCTAGTTATCATCCAAGTCATTGCACCATGATTCAGCATTGTTCTGGACGGTGATCCCCCCGAAAAGATTGTTTTCATCGGTTTTATAAGTCCCCCAGAGATCCGCCAGGTCCTGAGCCTGAATAAATTGACGCATTGTAACTGAATCAAATAAAAATATATATAATATATAATATAATATATAATATATAATACA